GTCTCTCTCTCTCTCACTCTCACTGTGTCTTTCTCTCTCTCTCCCCCACACAGGGCATCAGACTCACTGTGAAAGAATTTGACTCCCTCTTCACTTTCTATGATAAGGTGAAAAGAGCATTGTCTGTGCCTGCATGTATACTGTGTTATGTGTTATGCATAAACAGTAACATTTCCATATTTCCTCTTACAGTCTGACTGATACTTCTAATTTATGCATTCATGACTTTAAATTGATTGTATACCTACACTTAATACCATTTATACTAACGAGTTTCTATGGGATATTGACGTCTGCACTTCCTCTCCTTTTTTCCTCCTAGCACAACCATCAGGTCACAATGTATCCAGTACTTTGGTTTCTGACCTGCAAAACTAATAGCATTTTCATCAGCTGTACTTTATGTTTTGTGCTAATTAGCAATTTTTAGCACCCTAGCAGTTTAAACTAACATGGTGAACATGGTACACATTAAACACGCTGATATTAGCACGTAGCTCAAAGCGCCACTGTGCCTACGTACAGCCTCACAGAGCTGCTTGCATGAATGTAGACCCATAGTTTATTTCTTCTGTATAATTCAGACCTCTCGTGTTGTCTCTTTCACCAGGATGGTAATGGGTCTATTGACGAGCAGGAGCTGGATGCTTTGCTGAAGGACCTTTGTGACAAGAACAAAATGGTAATGAATAGTTAGCCTATTGATTGATCAGTTCAGGTTACGTGTCTACTTGCCAAATATAGAGCCGATAGCTGCCTGATATGCCTCTGCAATGTACCACCTTGTACCCACTGATCGTATATATGCCTGTGTCGTTTCTGGTAGGACGTGGACTCAACAGGACTGGTGGGGTACAAGAAGAGCATCATGGCTCTGTCTGACGGAGGGAAACTGTACCGCACTGAGCTGGAGATCGTCCTCTGCCGGGACTCCACACTGTGACCTCCTTGCCTGGGACCCTGCTGTCCTCCTCCACCCCCTGCCTCCTGCTTCCTACCTCCCAATGTAACCTGGTGCATGTGTGACCCTTAACCTCGCTACACCACTTAGACTGAAAACAAAAGTGCTCTTGAGAGCACAAAAGTGTACTGCTGGCCCTGATGTTTTAGCTTTTAACCCTTCTGAGGTCTTTTCCTATTTTTAATTTTACATGAAGTTCCATAATAAGCTAGCCATAGCAATGACTACAGAAAAATATTGTGTATTTATTTATTTTACTTCCCATTTTTAATATGCATATGTATTTTTTACATTCATCTCATATATATATATGTTCTCCTCCTACTTAATTTAAAATGCTAATGTTCTGTAACGCCTGTTCTTTAATATTATTATTATTTTGATTTCTATTTAATTTAATATTGTCCTGTTTTATTTGATGAGGCTTGTACTGTTCTATTAAATATATATTAAAGATACTGAGAGAATGAATAAATATACCATTACAACTCTTGTACCAATTATTCACTTGGATTAGAAAGTCATGTCTTCATCTAAACAATGTTCTTTTACAGCTCAGTTATCAGGGGGATCATTTCAACTGTGCCACTACCTCGACTGTGAGAGTTTTTTTTTGTCTTCTCCGGTGTCGTGTAAAAGAAAATAATTTTCCCCCACTTTGAGAGTTATGTGGTTCCAGGGAAGATTACAGCTCCGGTACAGATGCCCAGAGCAAGAGTGTTTTCTTCAGAGTGCTCCACCTTCACGTTCTAATCTCCTGGTAACAGAGAGTGTGATGTTGAAAAAGCTTGTGCTGCTCCATTTTTCATAGAGGAGAGTCTCCGAAGCCTCTGTGGCACTTTGAGATGAAGTGAGCGCAGTAGGACAAACTCAGGGACAACAAGAAATACAGCAGGATGGTTGTCTCGCTCTATTACTTGTATACAAATCTGTCACAACACTGCATGAGAATATACAACAAGGCAACCAAAGATTTGCACTTTTAAATAATTGAAATACGTCTGTTTCTGATCCAAATGTGTTTATCTGAGCCTCCACACCTCTCCGGACAAAACATATTCTCCAATATAGATATAGATAAAGATAAAGATAAAGATATAACATTTTTATTGCGGATTATATATATATATTATCTAACTATCATTCCTGACTAAACTTACATAATTTTAAAAGATTCTGCATTTTCTATTTGTTTCTATATAAAAAAGATTCAACGCACCCCCATATTTCAGCATTATGGAACAGTCTACCTTCCATCAATTAATAATCAGCTCTTTCATCTTTAATTAAACTTACTATCTTTAAAACACCCCTTCATACACACACCATCACTACAGCTCCATGCACACTCACTCATCAAAAAAAAACCAAACAGTTCATTTCCTTCAGCAAAAGCTCATTGTTAGACACACATGTGTGGGCATACAAATACACACACACAGAAATACACAGGGGCACACAGTGAAACTCCACGCTGTAGTTTAAGCTGTTAACTGCTGACAACAAGGAAAAAGAGAGTTATATCCGCTCTGATTCCTTCACACACATCAGTCCCACTCAGTGAGAGCAATGAGTAGAGCGAGTGAATCAGACAGATGAGATTCACTCTGTTATTTACCCTCTGTACAGCTGCACACACACACACACACACACACACACACAGGCTACAAACATATAGAGACACATAATGTTTCATTGGATTGTTACGAATTCAAAAGCACAGACTGTGCTGTTTTAGGGTCCTGATATTTGCACCATTTGCCTTCATTTTTGAATGCAATATAGATGTGAAGCAAACTATAAGGATCATGAGGATCCCCCCAATATTACTCAATGGTTAGCAAGGTTCAATTGCTCCTTTATAGAAAAGTATCTATGCCATGAGAGGTAGCCCACAGCTCTCCCAAAGTGCTTCCATGGATGATGTACATGGAATCTATTTAAATTTTTAAGTTTTCCTTTTTTCTCTGTTCTATATTTTTTCTTTGTGGAGTGGGAGAGAAGTGGAGGGTCCTGATTCTGTGTGGGAGGGAGAAGTGGTGAGTATGTTTGTGTTACATGCAAGATATGATATTTCATATATGGCATTGGCACTATGTTTTGGTACGTTGTGTAATGTTATATGTGTTATACTGTGAATATGGAAAATATATATAATAAACCGAATTTAAAAAAAAGTCTCAGATGTCCTTTTGGATCCTAAGTTTCCAAACCCTCTAACCCTAAACTTAGACTTAGACCTAGTGGGGAACATATGAACCTGAGAACAAAGAAATGACCCCATAACATCTGCAGTGAAACAGACATTTCTTTTACATATGATTCAAAAGATCCCAAAATGCAAATTATTTGTCTTTTATTACATTATCACCTTCTTTATCTCCTATTCAACATATTATACTGTGGGTTTATTAGATTCAAGTAAATTAGACCAAATTGTACATATTGTTCCATGAAGTTTTTAGTCACTGCGCTATTTTCAAAGATTAATGCTGTAGAGATTTATGTTGCCCTAGAAAATATGTGCAAATATTAGTTATATTTTTGGATCTTAGTCTAATTGTGTGTCGCTTACAACAGACACTGGGGATGAAGTTTGTTTTCCCCTCTTTTCTTTACAATTTACCATAAAAAGCACAGAAATCATATTGCAGCATCCAAATTAAACAGTCAAACAGAATGCATTTAATTTTCTGGGTACCAAACGTGTTTGGTATTCACTGCCATATAGACACTACAGTTGCTTCACTGTCACACTGTCATGACTTACTGAACAGAACAAAGACATTGTTAATATTACACATAACACCTGTGATTTTCTGTCTGCTTATCCAGAGGAGAGATCTAATCAGATCAATTAAAAACACCAGTTTGGGTGTAACACAAGGGACTGAGTCACAATATTAATTCTAAGATCAGGTATCACTGGTTTTAGCCTGAGAGACTCTGTTCACTAAATGACTGTACTCACTATAATAAATGTGATGTATGAGGAAATTCATTCTAGCTTCAACTTCACCCTAATTTCTCTGTTCCATCACTGTGAACTGACAGTTTCTGTTTATTCACATGCACACACTCTGGATGTTCACTCAGTCACAAGATACAAGCACACACACATCAAACACTGAGGCTCAATTGCAGAGAAACCTCCAGAATCACAGATATGATTACAGCAAGAACAGGAACGATTAGTCATTATTATTTAGCATATGTTTTATCTTGACATTTGATATGCTTATTATTTGTATTATAACATGATATTGTTTTATTGTTTGTCTTTGTCAACTTCATATAGCTCAAGCAAATAGCAGACACATATGCGGAAAACACAATTAACATTTAAAATGCAGCGTACCTGTTAGATTGGTGATGTTTTCCCCTTTTTCTTTTGTTTTTTATTAAATTTATTAAAATACCAAAACTGATAACTAAATAAAAACAAATCATGTGAGAAAAATCTAATCCATTAAATAAAACTATATGACTGAATATATACAGCAAACAGGACACTGATGTTGAATGGAGCCCACACTATGTCGAGTATTATTACTGTAAGTGATAAATGACATAAACTCTAATGTCTAATGGGTCACTATTACTGCTTCACATCAATTCATCATCACAGCAGCCTGTTGTCACACAACATATTAACACTTAACCTCACAGGGAGTGTAGAAAACTGTGTGTTTGAGAAGAGAAAAAACTACATGTAAACAAAAGGCCAAATAAGTTATAGATATTTAAAAGTAACAACAAAAATGTGTGCACACATATACACTTTACAATAAGATAAGATAAGATAA